CTGTCTTCACAGCAGAGGTGCTCCAGGCCTTAAAGCATCATTGTGGACTAACACTTAGGTACAACAGGTGGCTTTTCTTTCAACGGTTTCACAACAAAACCAAAATATTTGTATTCAACTATCTTTTTCAGGACTGATAAAGAAGTTCTCAAAGTCTTCCAATAAACTGACTTAGTAAACAAAAACTACCTATTTTGGCTTTTGATGCATTTAAGATCATACCAGCACTGTAACTAAGTGCAAGCACAAAGTTTTTTCTTAGAAATTTTGGAGAAAGTCTCCATTTCATATTCCTGAATGACAGGGAAGAGGAATGAGATATGTGAAAAAAAGGGCTACACTTCTTCCAAATGTCTCACTGTTTCACAAATAGATTTAATAGATATTTTCTATTTTGAGATACCATTAAGTATGTATTTAATAATTATTTAAAACCCAAACCAGATGCTATTTGTTGAGAATAAGAAGCAATCACAAAGCAGCATGTTACAGACAATGAAAAGGCAAGCTCATTTCCATCATACAGAAATCCCACTGAAGTGCATATGTATTGATTAACGAGATTTGCAGTTAATTTTAGGCTTGCTGGGCACTCTAGTTAATAAAACACTCTTTTGTTCAATCACATATAGATTAGGCTGCTTAATGACCTCTAACAAACATTTAATCTCATAAAAGATCATATCTAAATTGACCTCCATAAAAAATGAACACGATTATTACTAGCATTTTAAAGCAACATATAAAAATGTTTACTTTATACAGATTCTGCAAAAGCAAACCCACATTCCATCACTGTCTCCATTTCAGTTTTACAAGGATCAATACCTTCTCAAACTAATCATTTCAGGAAAGTGGTCAAATACAGCATTTATATATGTATCCCTGTCCTGCAGAACACTGAGTACTTCATGTCAAGGTCCAGAGAAGCCACAGCCTCCTGCTAACTTAACAGATGCAGAACATTTGACATGCATTATCATTAGTCAGAACTCAAAGACAACGAGGCATCTAACTTCAGAGCTAAAAATCACTGCTCTGCCATTTAGTAGCAAGTTCTGGACAGGATGGATTCCTCTAACTCAGGAAAACACTGCAAAATTAGAAAAATACTTTTATATGATGTTCATCTACTTGGATTCCAGAGCTCTCCTGTTCTGCCAGGTATTTCACAGAATATAAACTACTGTAGGAATGAAATATAAACTGCTAAAGGAATTAACACTTGAGAGTAGCTATCTCAAGCACAAGGGACAGAATTCCAGAGTAAACCACACCAAGATTAGCAAAAAGATCTAAGGATTATGCTCCTGAATGTAAGAAAAATTATTTAAATGTCCCTCTACCATTCTCTTCTAGTAGGCAACCTATAAACATCCAGGAGAACTTTTTATTAGTTTCAGCAGTACATGACAGGAAATGTTAAATTCACACAAGATGCAACCTTTGGGTCGCCTGTTTTCTCTTCCTGCAAGTGTTGTCACTGTATTTTATTTCCCTGTCATCTCATTTAGGAGTTAGCTCTTACATCACTAATGATTAATCCTAATGTTCTATTTGTTCCATGTTTTCCCCCACTGACTGACTCACAATTAGAAAATATATATAAAAATTCACACTGAAATTAATTCAGGTGGAAAGCACAGCCTTCTCTCACCTGCCATTCCCAGAAATTAAGTCTCAGGTCCTCTCCAGCTTCCTCACAAATAAATACTTGGAAGAATATAATTCTAAGTAACTTTTGCCTCTACAGTTTCAGAGACAAATCTAATGAGATCTACTCAGACCTAACTGCAATTAAGAAACCTATATGTATTTTTTTAATAACTTAGTGCATAACTCAACCACTCAGCTGTCAGTAGTGACAAGCTCCCAGTTTCTACAGCACTACAACTGACTGCAGTCTTGGCTGCACTAGAAACAAGAACGACCACTGAAACTTGCACAGCTTAAGAGGAAACAGTTTATATTTTTGAGAAAGCAGTTAAAAGATGTAATTCCTGCGTTCCATGAATGGATATTCTATGTCTATAAAATAAAGTAGCATATACATATGCAAATACCTTTATTATAACTCTTCACAAGACCTTTGCAGGGACCTTCCATCTTAAGTGCTTTAGCCAAAGGGCGCATTGGACTGTTCAGTGGACTGATCGCCTTGGGAATGTGCCTCAAGTGATTGAGATCAATGCTCAGTATTGAGCTGTCATCATCAACAGTAACTTGGTTAGTTTCTCTCTCTTTAGTTCTTGGACACATCTCACCACTAAGAGATGACGTAGTACTGATTTCAGTTAGGTCTGGCTCCAGATCACAAGCATTCTGGTCAACTAATGGTTCATACTTCTCAGTTAACATAGTTTTGTCAAGTGACTGAGATGTACTCATATTAATTTTGCAGTTATTCTTTTCCTCCACAGGAAATGCAACATTTTCTGAAGCCAAGTGACCACTGTCCTTCACCACTTCCATTAAACAGTCTGGTTTTTTTTCACTAACATAATCTGCAACATCACAGGACTCCAGGGCACCAGAACTTTTGGCTTCCGAGTCATCTGAGACAAGGTTTTGAGAATCACACTGGTCTGCTGAGTTTCCTGTATCAGCAGCTGGCCACACTTTATCTTCCTCTTTCTTGTCTTCTGCTGACTCTGGAATGGCTCCCTTACTTTCACTGACAGGTTCAGATTGTGCCACTTCTGCTGCTGGTACATCCTGTGTCACACCCACTGTCGCCAGCAAGTTTTCACACTCTGGCACACTCCCTGTCACCTCCAGAGGCAAAGATTCTGGGAGACCTGGATCTGTCTCTGCCACTGCTGTTGCTGAGACTTCCGATTCAACCAGATCACCACTCTCTGCTGCTTCTGACAATGTTTCAGACAATGTCTCAGCCTGCACCTCATCAGGAACCAGTACCTCTGCTGCTTCTGGTGAGGCCTGGAGCTGTACCTGGCTCACGTCTGCCTCTGGTGAAGTTTCTGAGCTCAGTTCATCAGTTGTCACTGCTGACAATGCTTCAGGCTCTGCTGGATCTGCTGCTGCTACTTTCAAGGCTTCATTTTCACAACTGGCTGAAATGGGCAGTGCTGGTGCCATGCTGCTTTGAGCTGCACTGTCCAGAACTTGCAGCATTGAACTAGTTTGCTCTGTGAGACCACAGTTAACAGGCTGGGCAGAATCTAACAGTTCTGCCTGCAGTGTAAGCTCTGTACTTCCCTCATCAGTGGCCTTCTGGGAAGGTGTTATAAGTCTATCTGTTGGACATTGTTTCTTAGCAGGAGAAAGAGTTAAATTTAGCTTTTCCATAAAGCTAAGTTTTAAGTCTTTGCTTTTTGTCCCAACGTGATCGTCTTTAGTTTTGGGAACTTTCAACCCATCTGCTGCTCTGAACTTCTTTTTCTCACTTTTTGTAACATCCTTATCTCTCTTGGATTCTTTTGCAGATTGGTGAGAAATCTCTTTTGCAACTTTTCTTTCATTTCTAAAATGTTTATTGTCATCCTGATTCTCTCTTTTCCTTTTCTCTTCTGTTCTGTGTCTTTCTGATTTGGAATGTGCTGTTTCCCACTCATACCTACTACTATTTTCCTTCAAGCGTGCATATTTATGCTCTCTGCTGCTGGAATTAGAAGGTGAAGTCCTTCCTTCTCGAGAAGTATGATCATTTGTTCCCCTGTCCCTCTTGCAGTTGATGTCTTTTCCTTTTCTAGACTCTTCCAAACGACATTCACGTGATTCGTGAAGACTCTTTGAATGTTCATTCTTTGAGTGTGGACTACTCCTTCTACCAGACCTCCTCGGTTGCTCTTGTAGCTTTTCATTTGCTTTATTTTTTTGGCCTGCATTTTTTTCATCTTTATCATGCATTTTATCATCTTTTTTTAATACATTTTGGGACCTCTCATCAGCATACAATTCGCCCTTTGTCTGAAATCTGTCTTTACCAGCAGTTTGTTTCTCCCAGGAAGAAACACTCCTTTCTGCTCTTCTTTCTGCACTTGGACTGCATTTGTGTCTTATGCTCTGACTTTTTTCTTGCAGCTCCTTTTTACTAGCTTTCTCTGAAGGGGTTTTCAGCTTTTGCTGAGGATCTGAATTCCCCTCTTCACCATCACGGTTGCTACAGGTAGTTACATTGTTTCCAGTGCTCTGATGTACTTCTCTTTTGTACTTGTTGTCATTTCCCCTACTATATTGTTCATTACTTTTAATTTCTTTTCTTTCCTTTCTGTTGTCCTTGTTGGAACTGTGGTCATAGTTGGGTAGACATGTTTGAGGACCACCATTGCAGAGCTCTTCAGGAGGGCATGTGGGTAAATTTGGAGTGTTTCTTTTTTCAGAGCTAGACTTCCCACTGTCCGTACAGTGAGATGAGTGACTGTGGTATGTATCTTTTGAACACTCATTTTTCATTCTGTGCTCCATCTTTATACTGTCACCTGAATCAGAAGATCTGAAATTGGAATCTTTTGTCTTACACATCTCAGAGCACCTTCCATTAGTTGATCCTGGAAGGTAAGTTCTGGTGAAGCTACTTCGATGACTGGGAAATTCTGATAGCCTGTTTATAAAAATTTAAAAGAGTTACATTAGTTCTTTTGCAGTTTATTTAAACATAACTTTTTTGCAACCACATCCCTCTAAAAAGGTTTCATACTTTCAGATTAAAGTTGAAAAAAAAGTGGGAAAAA